GATACTGGGAGAGGTGGCTCCACGAAGTCTGAATTCTCCATAACAATCTTTCTGTCTGTTCTTAAACAATCTTACTCTTTTCCTTGACTTTCATAACACCTTACATCACAAACCACACCTCTGTTCTGGTCCACCGACCAATCAGAGGCTCTCAAATGAACCGGAAGTAGAGCCCATTTAAATGTTGGCACTTCCTAGTTCAACGAGCAGAGTTCAGCTCAGTCTTGAAGCTGCAGTAAGCTCAGTCTTGAAGATGGAGTAGCAGTTCTGAAACTCAGCAGTTTCAGAGAGAGTTTTTGGAGTTCCAGAATGCAGAACGCTGGAATTCAGGATGCTGCTGAAAGAGAATCAAGCTGAACCAGAGACGATTTGGGAATTATAACTTCTGTTTGGATAACCTCACGACTCCAGGGGTTTTTAGCTGTTCTCACGGAGACGCTGAAAGAGTTGAAAGGAGAGCTCTACACCAACGCTGAACTATCTTCTGCAAGGTAAAAAGTTCTATCTCAACCAAGCGTACCGTTGGCCCAAGCTGATTTCCAAAGGAGTGTGCATGTTCTGGTTAAAACAGACAAATTCCCTCACACATCTCTCTGTAGATAAACCTCATCTTTCTATCTTTAAACTCTCCTATCTGCTAGCAAATTAATCTAGATGTTTTCAGAAATGTCTGTGGTGAAGCAACGGAAAATCATGGCCGTATGGTTTTCCTGGTTGTAAAGCTGATTAATTATGTCGTTATTTTTCAATTCTTGCCAATTAATGTAAATGTGTGATGTGTTAAACTTGATTCTGTTAATAAATGACCCACTCGTTTGGTGAGTCAAAGATAATTAACGTCTCACGTCTACATTTTATTAAATTCAATGCACGTATATTATACAGTCCAGAAAAATGAAAGAACCCGTTTAATTGATGAATATATCTCAGGATATGTCATACTACAGTGGGCATACTTATTGCCTCCCAACTTGGTGCCTGTGTGTTGGGTTTCACCCTGGTGAATGAGAGGGTGGCCTCCCTCCGCCTACGTGTGGGGGGACAGGTTCTGACTGTCATTTGTGCTTATGCACCAAACGGCAGTTCAGATTATCCACCCTTTTTGGAGTCCTTAGAGGGGGTACTGGAAAGTGCATCTCCTGGGGACTCCCTTGTTCTGCTGGGAGACTTCAATGCTCATGTGGGCAATGATAGTGAGACCTAGAGGGGTGTGGTTGGGAGGAACGGCCCCCCTGATCTGAACCTGAGTGGTGTTCTGTTGTTGGACTTCTGTGCTTGTCATGGATTGTCCATAACGAACACCATGTTCAAGCATAAGGGTGTCCATATGTGCTCTTGGCACCAGGACACCCTAGGCCGCAGTTTGATGATCGACTTTGTCATTGTCTCATCTGATCTGCGGCCACATGTCTTGGGACACTTGGGTGAAGAGAGGGGTGAAGCTGTCCACTGATCACTACCTGGTGGTGAGTTGGCTCCAATGGTGGGGGAGGATGCTAGTCAGACCTGGCAGACCCAAACGTATTGTAAGGATTTGCTGGGAACGTCTGGCAGAGTCTCCTGTGAGACGGAGTTTTAACTCCCACCTCCGGGAGAACTTCGAACATGTTCCGAGAAAGGTGGGGGACATTGAGTCTGAGTGGACCATGTTTCGTGCCTCTATTGTCGAGGCGGCTTACCGGAGCTGTGGCCGCAAGGTTGTCGGTGCCTGTCGCGGCGGCAACCCTTGAACCCGATGGTGGACACCGTCAGTGAGGGATGCAGTCTGGCTGAAGAAGGAGTCCCTATCAGGACTTTTTGGCCTGTGGGACCCCGGAAGCAGCTGATGGGTACCAGCAGTCCAAGCGACATGTGGCTCGGGTGGTCGCTGAGGCAAAAACTTGGGCATGGGAGGAGTTCGGAGAGGCCATGGAGAATGACTTCCGCACGGCTTCGAGGCGATTCTGGTCTACCATCCAGCGTCTCGGGGGGAGGGGGGGGGGGGAGCGGTATACCACCAACACTGTTTATAGTGGGAGTGGTGTGCTGCTGACCTCAACTCGGGATGTTGTGGGTCGGTGGGTAGAATACTTTTAAGACCTCCTCAATCCCACTGGCACGTCTTCCACTGAGGAAGTGGAGCCTGCGGACTCTGGGTTGGGCCCTCCAATCTCTGGTGCTGAGGTCACCGAGGTGGTTAAAAAGCTCCATGATGGCAGGGCCCAGGGATGGATGAGATTCGCCCGGAGTTCCTTAAGGCTCTGGATGTTGTAGGGTTGTGTTGGCTTACACAACTCTGCGATACTGTGTGGACATTGGGGGAAGTTCCCCTGGATAGGCAGACCAGGGTGGTGGTCCCCCTATTCAAAAAGGGGGACCGTAGAGTGTGTTCCAACTACAGGGGAATCACGCTCTTAAGCCTCCCTGGTAAGGTCTATTCGGGGGTTCTGGAGAGGAGGGTCCGTCGGATAGTCGAACCTCAGATTCAGAAGGAGCAGTGTGGTTTTTGTCCTGGCTGTGGAACACTGGACCAGCTCTACACTCTCAGCAGGGTCCTGGAGGGTGCGTGGGAGTTTGCCCAACCGGTCTACATGTGCTTTGTGGACTTGGAGAAGGCATTCAACCACGTCCCTCGGGTAACCCTGTGGGAGATAATCTGGAAGTATGGGGTACCGGGCCCTTTGATACAGGCTGTTTGGTCCCTGTATGACCGGTGTCAGAGCCTGGTCTGCATCGCCAGCAGTAAGTTGGGCTTGTTCCCGGTGAGAGTTGGACTCCACCAAGGTTGCACTTTGTCACCGATTCTGTTCATAACTTTTATGGACAGAATTTCTAGGCGCAGCCAAGGTGTTGAGGGGATCCGTTTTGGTTGCCTTAGGATTGCGTCTCTGCTTTTTGCAGATGATGTGGTCTTATTGGCTTCATCAGATCGTGATCTACAGCTTTCGCTAGAGCGGTTCGCAGCCGAATGCGATGCGGCCGGGATGAAGATCAGTTCCTCCAAATCCGAGGCCATGGTCTTGAGCCGGAAAAGGGTAGCCTGCCCTCTCTGGGTCAGGGAGGAGGTCCTACCCCAAGTGGAGGAGTTCAAGTATCTTGGGGTCTTGTTCACGAATGAGGGAAAAATGGAGCGTGAAATCGATAGGCGGATAGGTGCAGCGTCTGCAGTGAAGCAGGTGCTGTACAGGTCTTTCGTGGTGAAGGGAGCTGAGCCAAAAGGCGAAGCTCTCAATTTACCGATCGATCTATGTTTCTACCCTCATCTATGGTCATGAGCTTTGGGTTGTGACCGAAAGAATGAGATCTCGGATACAAGCGGCCGAAATGAGTTTTCTCCGCAGGGTGTCTGGGCTCTCCCTTAGAGATAGGGTGAGAAGCTCGATCATCCGGGAGGGACTCAGAGTAGAGCCGCTGCTTCTCCATGTCGAGAGGAGCCAGTTGAGGTGGCTTGGGCATCTGTTTAGGATGCCTCCTGGACGCCTCCCTGGTGAGGTGTTCCGGACACGTCCCACCGGAAGGAGGCCCAGAGGAAGACCCAGGACACGCTGGAGGGACTATGTTTCTCGGCTGGCCTGGGAACACCTCGGGATTCCCCCGGAGGAGCTGGCCCAAGTGGCTGGGGAGAGGGAAGTCTGGGCCTCCCTACTTAGGCTGCTACCCCCACGACCCGACCCCGGATAAGCGGAAGAAAATGGATGGATGGATGGATGGATGGATGGATGGAATAGTTGAAAACCTAGCTCCGTTTTACATTACATATCTTATTGTTCCATATTTTCCTAGCAGAGCACTTCGCTCTCAGACTGCAGGTCCACTTGCAGTTCCAGGAGGTTCCAAAAACAGAATGGGAGGCAGATCTTTCAGTTATCAGGCTCCACTCTTGTGGAACCAACTTCCAGTTTCTGTCCATGAGGCTAACACACTGTCCAGTTTTAAGAATGGGCTTTAGACTTTCCTTTTTGCTAAATACTATAGTTAGTGTTGACTTGGGTTTCCTGAGCTATCCCTTAGTTATGCTGCTATAGGTTTAAGACTGCTGGAGGACAAATTGAAAACATTTCTTCACCATATCCTGATACATGCTCAATAATCCAGGTAGAAAAAAACAAAAAAGTTCAATCTGGTCCTCTGGACATTCAAAAAACAAGAAAACAAAAAAACAAAAAACAAAACAGCAAAAAAAAATGTAGAAACGTTTCATCTCTCATCCGAGAGACTTCCTCAGTCTGAGGTGCTGTATTCAGCTCAGTCTCTTAAATAGTAATCTGAGAAGGTGCTATTTAAGAGACTGAGCTGATTACAGCACCTCAGACTGAGGAAGTCTCTCGGATGAGAGACGAAACGTTTCAACATTTTTTTTGCTTTGTTTTGTTTTTTGTTTTCTTGTTTTTTGAATGTCCAGAGGACCAGATTGAACTTTTTTGGATTTCTTCACCATGCTACTGTCTTTACTTACTCTGCTTAACTTGTTTTGTATTTGTAATTATCTTTTCTGTCCTTGACATGTATTGTTGTCTTTCAGGTACACCTGCATCTACATCTATTTGGACCTGCTATATTGTGTTTGTTTGCCTCTCCTATCTGTCCTCTCAACCCCAGGCGATCAAAACAGATGGCTACCTGTCCTGAGTCTGGTTCTGCTGGAGCTTTCTTCCTTTTAAAAGGGAGTTTTTCCTTTCCTCTGTTGCCATTGTGAACAAAGTCAATGCTCAATAATCCAGTCATACAATCAAACAATTTTCAGTCAGGTCATCTGAACAGATTCTTTTTTTTTTTTTTTTTGCACTTGCTCAGGATGTGAGACTGACAAAATGAAAATTCAATGAGTCTGCTGGCTTCCTTAGATAGATAACGTTACTAATTGGCTTTTCTATGTATGTGAATGTTTCTGTAAAGTGCCCTGAGACAACTTTGTTGTGAACTGGTGCTAAATTAATAAACTGGATTAAATTGAATTTAATTGTGAGTCCCATCAGCAGAACTTGTTCCACAGTTTGAGAGCCATAAAGGCAGAGACTGACCCTCTCCTTGAAGCCCATTGCCGGGATGTTGCATCTGACTGCGGCGTCCTCCTCATGGCTGCAGTCAACGATCTCCTTGTTGAAGGAACACTCAGTAAAGGACTTCTCAAATCCTGAGCACTTAACTTCATTCATATGGACAGGCCCCATACCTGAAGAATACACAAATAATAATAATGCTTTAATATTAAATAGTAAAAGTGATTTTAAATGGTTAACACCTCCATGTTTTCTACCAGTTGTCCATCTGTGTGGTTTTGTTATTTATACAATGTTTAGAAGAGATTCAGCATGATTCCTTAAGAACACTGAGAACAGATCTCTGGTCACCTCTCAGAAACCAAACGGCCCAAACCATATAAAGACAATGAAGATGCCAAAAATATTCACAAAAGTGGATATTTGTATGCATACAGTGATCCAAAAACCAATAAACAGTTTTTCAAATATATTCCAGAAAAATGTTAGAGGCTATCCATGACTGATATGAATAAAAGTGTTGTATAATGTTTAAGATAAAAAAAATAAAAACCTTTCATTAAAACCTGATGCTATTAATCTTTTTCTGGTTGTTTGTCCCAGAAGAATAAACAACCTTTAATAATAATAATAATAATTAGGGATGGGGCCGATCCGATCCGGTATCGGTATTGGCTCCGATACAAGCATAATTTACGTATCGGATTTTCCGATCCAACCTGCTGATATTTCCGATCCATGATGCATGTTGGCTTCAAACTATGGAATGGATTTCCTGAATGGTGGCATGTCTCGTGAGCCCAGAAAAATAAGACCCGCCTCACGTTCAAGAAATCCATTTCATACTTTGTAGTTTGCAGCCAGCTACAATGTGAGAACTGAGTTAGGAGCACTGTGGATAACAGCTAACCAACTTTTCATAGAAACACGTCCGCTGTGTGGAAGTATTTTACACTAAACACCACAAAACAAGACAGCAACGTGCAATGTCTGCAGAGCCATAGCACCACATTAAACCACGGTAAAGTTAGTTTTACGTTGGACATTTGAGCTCCGGGGCTTCAGAGGGGCACTACTCTTTGCTCAACACGAAAACAACCAACTCGACCCCAGCCAGCCGCGTCCAATCTGCCCCGCTCAATCTGCCCGTCTCTGAGGAGGGACAGACTGAGCATGGCTGACCCAAATCAGGCTGCCTGCTTTGGATTGAACAAGAAGAAGACATCGCTGAAGCCCCGGAGCTCGAATGTTTACCGAGAAGTTGCCAAACTTCATCGTAATTAATGACCAACCGCTATCAGTTGTAGAAAATGAAGGATTTCCCAGCTTGATACTTGCAGCCAAGATATAGTTTACCCTCCAGGAGATATTTATCAGTACAACAGTGGACAATCATAAAAAAAAACATGATTTGAAAATTATATATATATATTTAAAAAAAAAGCAACAAAAACAGCTACATTATAAAGTGATGTAAAATACTAAAAACAGGAACTTTCTTTCATTCAAACTTTCTTTAGACAAGTAAATCCCATTGAGCCTCGAGGACTCATTTACAAGAGAGACCTGATTTCAACAAAGAATGATGACAAGAATGCACAACAGCGACAATAATAAACAGTTATAAAAAAAGTATTTTTTTTAACAAATAGGATGGCTAAAAAAAGAAAAGTAACAAAAAACAGCTAGATTCTAAGGCAAATGTAGAAAACTAAAAACAGGAACACGTCTGCATTAGTCCCTGCCAAGAGTCCAACAGATTCTTAAAGCCACTTAGAGAGGTCAAGGTCGAGAGCTTCAGATCTTTTTGTAAGATAATCCAGGAAACAGGAGCAGAGTAAGGCCCTTTTGCCTAGTTCAGTCCGCACTGAGGGAACACTGCACGTAATAATGTCCTGAGAGCATATGCTGTAGCTGCACTCACGCTCAGACATGTAGGAGGAGATGTATGAAGGCAGCAGGCCAAGAAGTGATTTAAAAATGAAAATGTACCAGTGAGAGAGTCTGCGTGAAGTTAATGATGTCCAGTTAACCAGTGAATACAGGGTGCAGCGATGGGTACAATAATCACAGCAAGTTATGAATCTTAGTGCACCATGATAGACAGCATCCAACATCTGCAGGGTTCTTATAGGAGCGTTCATGTAAATAATGTCACCGTAATCAATGGAGGGAAGGAAGGTCACAGATACAAGGCGTTTCCTAGCATTCAGAGTTAGACAGGATCTGTTTCTGAAAAAAGAAACCCAGTTTAACTTTCAGTTTCTTTACCAAGTTTTCCACACAAAGCTTAAAAGAGAGATGTGAGTCGACCAAGATACCTAAATGATCATAGGAATCAACAAACTCAATCGGGACATCATTTGAGGATAAAATCTGAGGAAGAACTGCTGGGACCAACTTCCTATTTGAAAAAAGCTTCTCTTTGGTTTTGTCGGCATTTAGTACAAGTTTGAGATGGAAAAAAAAATCTGTCTGGATGATGTTAAATGCAGATTTCAAAAGCTGGAAAGCCTTATCAACTGTTTTAGCTCGACAATAAACAACTGTGTCGTCAGCATAGAAATGTATGGATGCATCAGGGATGTTTTAATCTACATTATGTATGTAGATTGTAAAGAGGGTGGATCCTAAGACTGAGCCTTGTGGTACACCATTGTTGACTGTTAATTAACTGGAGGAAGTACCATTTTGTTGAACACATTGCCTCCGATCTGAGAGATAGTTAGAGAACCAACCAATTGTGTGTTCTGAGAAACCGATTTCAGAGAGCTTATGACACAAGATGTTATAATCCGCAGTGTCAAAAGCTTTAGACAGGTCTAAGAGAAGTGTAGCACAATAATCCTTAGCATCCAGTGCTTCGACAATGTCATTAAGAACCTTCAGTGAAGCATTCGTTGTGCTGTGTTGTTTCCTGAAATCAGATTGATGGGGAGGTAAGATGTTAAATGAGTCCAGGTAATTTTTGATTAGAGAGTTTATCAGTTTATCTAGAACCTTGGCTAAAATGCAGAGTTTAGAGATTGGCTGATAGTTTTTCAGTGAGGTGGGGTCACCTCCCTTCAAAGCAAAGGAAGAACAAAGGTTGATTCCCAAGCATCTGGAATGAAGTTTTGGCTTATGGAGAGATTGAAGATGTGGGTCACAGGGACTGTGATGATATGAGCAGCCAGCCTTAAGAAATAAGATGGAAGTTCATATGGACCTACAGATTTTTTAGGATCAAAATTTTTTAACAGTTAATTAACCTCACCGACTGAGAATGGAGAAAAAGAGAAGGTGTGATTAACTGAGGGTTGACTTGTAGGAGGGATTTGATTTGTAGAAGTTTGGATATTAAGTGAAGTGGCTGATTTTCCATTAGTAACTGTGTCAAATAAAGAAATAGAAGCAACAAAATGTTTGTTGAAACAGTTCAGGATCTCGTGCTTATGTGATACAGGAACAGAGTTAATGAGATGTTGTGATGGGAGGTCAGATGATTGGAGGCTGCCTGAGAGAGATTTGATGGTTTTCCAGAATCTGTTAGGGTCATTTAGATTTTTGGAGGTCTGAGATAAAAAAAAAATAGTTACATTTTGCAGCTTTGACAGCAGTTGTGTATTTATTCCTCATCTGTCGAAAACTCAACTAATCAGTGTCTGAGACAGATTTTCTCGCTGGAGCCCAAAGATGATCTCTCCTGTACAGGAGGTCAGCTAGCTCTGGAGTAAACCAGGGGCTGTCTCGTCCCTTTATTCTGAACTGACGAAAAGGAGCAGGTTTGTTGACAAAATAAATTAAACTATTATGAAAATAATTCCAAGCAGAGTTCATGTCATCAATTAATAGAATACAATGACAGTCAAAGTAAGACAGATCCCAAAGGAATGACTGTTTACAAAAACGTTTCAGATCCCTTTTTTGAATTAATCTGGGCTTAGAAGGTGGAAGTTTAATATCTCAGAGTCACTGTCACACAGTGACCAAAATGTTAGTGAATACACCTGTACCAGGGAATATGTGAGGCATATTAGTTAGAAACAGGTCTAAGATGGAGGACTTTTCAGGATGGTTTTTGTTTGGTCTAGTCAGAGAGTTGATTAGTTGGGTTAGATTGAGAGACAGGCAACATTCCTTGAATTTATCACAGAGGGGGTTAACTTATCCCAGTCAATGTTGAAATTTCCTGCCCAAAAAAATTCTTTGAATTTTAAATTACCAAAGAATTCCATCAGGGAGGACAGAGCCTCAGGTGTTGCTGAGGGAGGACGATAACGACTCACTACAGATAAAACATGGCCTCCATTCAAAGTGATGTTTACAGCTAAGGCATCAAACTGGTTTGAAATTGTTTTAGAAGACACAAGACTAGAAACCAGAGAATCTCTAATGTAAATAATGACTCCACCACCCCCTTTTTTGACGATCACAGCGGTAGATGTTAAATCCATTGATTACCAGGTCATTATTCAGTACAGATTTGTTGAGCCAGGTTTCAGAGATGAAGATTACATCTGCCCCAGAAGAACTGATCAGAATTTTCAAGGCATCAAGTTTTCTCAGAAGGCTACGTGCGTTTACATGCAGAAAATGAAGTCCTGACACGTTTTTAAAGTCATTTGGTGTGCTGTAATTAGTGGGGGGTTTAAGGTTGGGCTGAATCCCTGAGAGCAGTGACAACATTATTATCAGACATTTTCTTGATTTTTACATGACTGATATGTAATTACAGGAATTAGTAGTGTGACAATTAGCCCCCATAATCGAACCATGAGAAACATTAATGAAGACGCGATCATTCAGAACCCAAAAACAGTGAAAGTTGCAGTGATGGGCAGATCCAGGTGTATTAACAAGAATCAGTGACTCCAGATAGTCTGAGATCTGAAAATAATGACAATAATATGAATGGTGCAGAAAAGTCTCAGACCATAAAGCGTCACAAATCAAATGGGTAAACAAATCCAACGAGGTGGCCCAACTGCAGTTTGAGTTGGGCTGAGGCAGGGGGGCTCCGGCCCCCCTGCGAAGATGGATGGATACTCCCATGAGAAACAGAAGCTGGGTCCAGAACCAACAGGCAGAAACAAATAATTCGCAGCAAATAGCGAGCTGCCAGAAAATCCTCCTGAAATGAAAGGCATGGTCCTAGCTCGTTTCAGGTCAACAGGGGCCAACAACGTGATCT